ATGGGATGGGATGGGATGGGATGGGATGGGATGGGATGGGATGGGATGCGGTGTGATGGCATGGAATGGGATGGATGCATGAATGCATGGATGGATGCATGGATACTGGATAGATAGATAGTTAGATTTTTTGGGGTGTTTTCCTTTCAACCAAGCGGTCACCAACTGAGTAACGCCACTGATTTCCCCGGGCAACGCCGGGTATCCCGATAGTAGGGCCTACAATATATAATTACAATTTTTGCAATTTTTTTTCTATTGGTTTTTTCTATAGACCCTGAAATTAGCGATCACATTGTGCTACTTTTGATATCGACTGCTCTCCTCCTCCTCCCCGTCCTTCTCTAGTAGGGTCATATAGCCTTTAGGGGGCAAGGGGCTGCTGCTCCCTAGATTTTGGAGCAAAATTAAAAAATAAGCTTAGCTAATAATCGTAAATAACCCTAACGTGATTTGGTCACTTATCCGTAAAAGCATTGTCTCAGACCCGCCCTACCACACTATGGACGTCGATCAGGAGCTGTGCCTGTCGCTCATCATTAGACAGTTGAGTCATGAAATTTTGCCCCCCCCCCCACCACCACCAAGGAATTTGCTCAGCCTACGGTCCTGAGGAACCTTCCGTAAAGCTCACTAAACAAACAAGTTTGCCTATATTAGGTTAGGTTAGTGATTAGGTTTCAAGTTATTATATTATTCTATTCTCAGTTGATAAGCTCTAAAGTTATACAGGGAACTCTTCTATGTATAATGTAGTATGTCGACAGGAACTCTATTTATATCATATTAACCCGTTGGCGCCCTCTCCCGGTAACAAATAAAATAAATTCAGTCCATCGCCCCAACGCCTGCCGTATACGATTCTCGTGAGATTACGCGTGCCGAAACGAGGGAAGCATGGCCGACAATATGATGGCAGATGATTTGTTTGATGTGTTTGAAAGCGGTTCGTCCGCGACCATCGCATCTGTTGGGCTGAAGAGAAAGCAAAACGACATTGAGACGTACGATGATGACGGAAACGAGCAAGATGTTATCACTAAAATAATCAAAGGGGACAATGAAGATGAGCAAACTGTAGTAGACACACGTGAATTAGACGGTAGGCAATCCATAATAATGAAATTTTAATGCAGTGGCTAGTAATACCACAGGCACTTGGACCGTTTCAATAATAAAATGATGGTTAATAAATACAACTTGTCAGTACTATTACTAG